GAGACCATGACCTGTGGCTGGAGCAGCAGCCGGGTTCCCAGGCGCAGGGGAGCGCGAGCAGCCCGCGGTGGGGCTGTTTCTCAGCGGCTGTCATGTGGCACCATGGTGCTTGGGGCCAGGTGAGCGGTTGCCCACGTTTTGCATGTCACATTCTTCTGACCTCTGCTCGTCTGGGTGGACACGCGGAACGGCTGTAGTTAATGCATCCAGTCATCGCATACCATTGGACAGAAGACTTAACTCCTTAATTCTATGAAGACAGTTTGGGAATCTCATTACTTCATTGAAAGAGGGCAGACACTTCAGATTGCCGCAGTGTTTGGGAATTAATCTTTAAAACCTGACAGTGAACATTCAATTCAATTAGAGCAACGGGCAGAGATTCACCGCCCCTCTGCCCTGGGTAGCTTGGAGTAGGGGCACAATAGCCACCCCGATTTCCATGATGCTGTGTGTGCTTTTCACTTCCCGGGGCTTAGGGTGTGCTCCCAGGTGGATGTACCCCCTGGCACTCAGGCTGTGTCGGGCTCATTGGGAGGGCCCTGCCATGGAATTCGCTGCTCTTGGCCTTGAGCTCTGTGGTTCTTTCATTGCCACCGTGGTCCTCCGGCTTCTGATCCTCTCTTCTCTTCTTCCCTCCTCTGCTCCTTCCTGCCCTTTCTCCTCTTCCTCCTCACCCCTCCTTTCTCTTCCTTTGCAGATTCTTCTCTCCCTTCCTCCTCTCTCCTTCCTCCTTTCCCTTCTCCTCTTCCACTTATTAATTTCACATTTTATTTTAAATTACAAACTGTGTGTATCTGTCAAGCAAAAGCGTAGAAAGCCACTTTGCGGACATCTGTGTGCCTGCGGCACAGACGATTCAATCCCGGTTCTGTCCCTGGGTCTGACTCAGCCTCTGGCAGCGTGGAACACATGAACCAAGCCTTCCCAAGATACCCCTCCTCTCACCTTCGAGGACCCCCGTCTCTCCCCCTCCTGGCTCTTCTCAGACCTGTCTTCTGGCTTCTTATCTCTCCTGGGAGCCCTCTCTGCACCACTGTCCACACTCATCCCCTTGGAGAGAGCTCAGCCCTCTTGTGACTGAGTCACTTGTTGTGACACTGACCTCCAAAGCTCAGCCTCCCTGGACCTCTCTCTCCTGAACATCCTCATCTGCCCCGCTACCCCTCTCTGGCCTCCTCCCCGTCCCGCTAGCTCCTCCAGGAGGCTGACCACCCTGCAGCTGCCTTGCCGAGACTCAGAGTTGTCGGGAATGCCCTGCTTGCCCTCCCCTGCCCCCAACAGACCCAGGGATCCCTGCTGGTTCTCCTCCCTCTGTGGCTCCTTCTCCACAGCCTCTGGTGGGTTGGAGCCATCCTCCATCCTGGCCCACATTCTCAGAGAAGCTGTCCAGCAGCTCCCTGGGTTCCCGTCGGCCCCACTCTGCTCCCTGTGACGCTGGAGCCAGCCCTTCCCTGCCTTCTGCCTCCAGAGAGCCTGGCGTGTGCTCCTTGTGACCCTTCCCCGCCTGTCCCTCTCACCCACCTGGCCACCATTCTAGCACCTTCCCCAGACCTCGTGAAGCCCTTTCTTTATTACTTTTTAAGACCTGTCATTATCACTGCCCTGTGGCCTCTAGATGGTGTGTATTTAGTGCCTGTCTCCCTCACCTGCGTTCAGACTCTGAAGTTTTGGACTTTGGTCTTCTTTGTTTACTGTTGATCAGTACTTGGCTAATGCAATCAGTCATTGAGTTATGACTGGCCTGACATACAAACAACTTGGGTTATGACCATAATTTTAGTTTTAACCTACGACTGAAGTCTTGAGTTATGACCTGAATGCTGGCTGCTTGTGCTTCCAGATGGTCTCAGATACAGATTGAACCCTTAAAGAGTTCTGGAAGGAATGTTGCAGCATCCTTTCCTGTGTGGAGTTTACGGAGAAATCCCGGGCCAGTGGCTCCCTATGGACACTGAGATCTGCCTGTGTACAGGACAGAGACTTTGAAGGCTGTGTAGGGGAGCCTGAGCCTTCAGTTGACCGACTTGAATTACAGCCAGCCCTGGAGAATGAATTGAGTTTGTAAGTCTAGGGTCCACTGTAGCAGGCACTCAGGCAGTACTTGCTGGGTGACTGAAATGGTGAGAGGACATCACATATGGAAGCTTTTGAGCATCTTTTCTCCCTTGCCCCTCTCCCTCTCCTCCTGTCTTAGCTTCTTTCTGTAGAAGAAATATTGCTCAGTGATCACAGCTCCTTCCTTCCGGCCCCAACCCTCTCCCTCCAGTCCCAGAAATGACAACTATCCTGTGCATGTTTTTATAGTCTTACTAAAAATGCATGAACACATGTGATAGGGCTTTGTTTGTATGCATATGTTAAAAAATTGTGGTGAAGCTGCAGGGTGGTACATGCCTGAAATCCCAGCACTCTAGGAGGCCAAGGCAGGTAAATTCCAAGTTAGCCAGCATGGGTAACTTAGCTAGACTTAATTTCAAAATGAAAAATAGAAAAGGGCCATGGGTGTAGTTCAGTGAGAAAGCCCTGGGTTCAATCCCCAGTACCAAAAACAGTAGTAAAATACGAGGTGAAATTTACTCTTACCCACCTTTAAGCATGCAGCCCAGTGGCGTTAAGTACATTCGTATGGGGGTGTTGCCAGCACCATCATCTGCCTCCAGAACCATTTCCATCCACACAATTCCCATCTCCCCTCTCCTGCTGTCTGGCAGCAACTGTTCTGCTTCCTGTCTGTGTGACTTTGACCCCCGCAAGGGCTCATGTGACTGCTCTGTCTCATAGGGGGACGGCTCCAGGTTTTGTCCACGCTGCCGCCGGCCGCAGGAGTGCCTTCCTTTTGCAGACTGAGCGCTGGGGATGGGTGCGCCATACTGGTCCTCTCCTCGTCTGGCCATGCCCCACTTATGTGGCTCCCTCCTTTTGCTGGTTGTAAATAATGCTGCTGCGAGCCTGGGTGCGCAGCACCTCTTGAGATCCTGCTTTCCATTTTGGGGTTATATATCTAGAAATGGAACTGCTGGCTCACACGGCGGTTCTGTCTTTGACTTTTTGAGGGACCGCCATGGTGTTTTCTGTAATGGCTGCAGTATTTTGCCTTCCCACCAGCACGACCCAAGCATCCCAGTTACCATCTTTGGCTATACTTTTATTTTGTGTTCTTTCGATAGTACCTATGCTAATACAGTGGTACTTTGGTTCACGCATTTAGTTCTTTCCACGACTCTGGTCACATAGTGAATTGGATGAGAACCGAATCAAATTGAATGGTTATGTTCAATATTGACTTTACAGAGAAATTTGATCCGATTCTCATCCAATTTGGTTTGTGACCAGAATTACGGAAAGAATTAAGTGCGTGAACTGAGGTTCTACTGTAGGTATGAAGTGGTGTTGTGTGTGTGTGTGTGTGTGTGTGTGTGTGTGTTTGTGTGTGTTTGGTACCCAGAGATAGGACTCAGGACCTTGCCCTTATGAGGCAGGTGGCAGAACCACTGAGCTAAATTCCGGTCCTTATTTTGTGTGTTTTTAAAAAAGTAAAATGGCATCATACTTTACAAGCAGCTTGCCTTTTGTCCTCAGTATTTTGTTACTGTTTAACCATGTTAGCCCTATAGATCTAGTTCATTTTCCTTTATTTTTTCTATTAATGTCATGCTTACACATAGTTTTGAAAAAACTGCTCTCTGCTTCACTTCCATGAATTTGCACTCCACTGTGAAGTCTTGTGGCCATTTCTTTTATTATTTCTGTCCGTGTTTCTAAGTGAATACTGCTACTTCTTGATTTTCCAGTGTGAGCTCTTGCTGTTGACCTGTGGTACGAAAGAAAGGAACGGAGCTCACTCTACATTCTGTGCAGGCTGTGCTTCGCCCTTGTTTTCTTAAGCTTAGACATTTACATATTCCCAGGAAACCTGCTCACAGGACTCTGATCCTTTGTGTTTGGAGAACTTCGGGGCTTGGCAGATTTTTTTTCTCATCTTTAGCTGGCAGGTTTCCCTGAGGACTGGGTTTGTTGAAGTGTGCACGTGGGCTTTGTTTGGGTTTCTTTCTTTCTCTTATTAAGGAAGACGAGTCTTGGTTTTCCGGAAGTCGTGGCGGGGAGCTCAGGGAATGCTGCTGGTCAGACATGGCCTCTGTGAGCCCTGGCTGTGTGCTTTGCAGCCCTCACCTCCTCTGGCCTCACTGCCACCCTGCGTGATGCTTTGATTAATTAATTGGTTCCACTTCGTGCAGAAGGAGGTGGGCCCAGATCCTAACACTACTGGGCTTGGCTTGGATGGGCAGGTGGCAGCGTCAGCCCTTGTCCCACAGTGAGAGCGTAGAAGGGGCCGGGTGCTGTGACTACCCTGCCTGCCAGGCCTGGCCAACTGTGCCATTCCTGCCAGCTGCGTGGGGGTGGAGGTGGCTGGGGCTGCTGTGGGCTGGGGGCCACTGAGCCAGTCTGCACACACCTGTGGCCCTGCCAGTCGGAACGTGTGGTTCTGTAACGTGTCTTGTTAAGTCACTTTCAGAAGTCATTCTGTGTGCCCCCCTGGGGACAAGGGCAGCGTGCTCTCTCCTATGGGAGCTCAGTGGCCTAAGGCAGACGCTTGCTGTTTGCCAGCTGTTGAGCAGGTGTGGCAGGCTTCTTTCTGGATCCATCCCAGTGTTAAACAGAGCCCGCGAGTATCGCCTGGGCATGTGCCATGTCCCCTGTGGGACAGATGACAGGGTTGCAGGCCAGATGGGGACAGGACCATGTGTGCTGGAGGAGCTGGGCTCCGATGGCCAACAGGTGGCTGGGTTAGCGACCAGACAGGAAATGCCTTTTCTTAACCCCAGGCAAAGTGGGTCTCCACATGCCTGTAAGGAAAGCTGTAACATGGAGTAAGGTTTGCTGGTGAACTAAGGCATGCCCCTTTCCCCATGTGGAGGGTGGCGTGGGCCAGTGGGTCTGTGCTGCCTGTGCTTGCCGGCCTCACAAGCGTGTGTCTGTCTGTCCGCTTTTCCTTGTAGGTGTGGGACGCCGTGGACTCCGGGCGATGCCTGCAGACCTACAACCTGCACAGCGAGGCAGTGCGGGCTGCCCGATGGTCTCCCTGCGGCCGGCGCGTCCTCAGTGGTGGCTTTGACTTCGCCTTGCACCTGACAGACCTTGAAACAGGTGGGTTCCCGTCCTCACCCGCACCAGGAAGGTTCTCCGGAGGGTCCCGGGCCACAAGGCACGTGTGGTGCTTCGGCGCTGGGAGGGCCCTAGGACAAGCCCACCTCTGAGGGGTTTCTGGATGTTTGCTGTTGGAACTGTGGCTCCCAGAGGATCGAGGTGGCCGCTGCCAGCTGGCACAGAGGACAGAGCCCAAGGTTGTCTCATTACCAGGATGTGAGGCTGGATAAAGAAGTGGCTTTTTAATCAACTTCTGACATGCAGTTTGTACTGGAATAGATTTAACTTTATCACCATGTTTTTGGTTGGAGTCTGTTTAGAATTCTTGTCAATTCATTATCCACGAAAGCTGTAAGGATGATTGCAGCTCACCAGGAAAGTCCTCAGACGAGTTCTGCCTTAATGGCCATGCGGAAAAGGCGTCTGGGTAAGGTGGATTTGTGCCGGGTGAGTCCTAAGGACCCTGGGCAAGCAGCCGAGAAGGAGAGAGAAGTCACAGAAGGAGCTCTCACCTCGCCAGTGTCCGGTGCACCAGGTTTGGCTCCTGGGTCTGCAGCCCAGGCCCAGAGCTGCCCTGTCCCAGGGACGGTGGGGCCCAAATAGGACAGGGGAACTGGGGAGCATGATGCCCCCAGCCTCCCTCTTACCTCCTCTCAGTGCCCACATGGCCTTCTGCTCCTGGGCTCTCCTGGGTCACTTTGCTGCCGGGCACATCCAAGGGCAGCAGGCAGGGCTGGTATCCACACCAGTGTCCCCCAGTGCCTCCTGCCTGCTGGTCCTATGATGGCAGCTCTGGGGCTGCCTCTCCCAGGATCTAGGGAGACAGTGGTGCTGACCCCCAGGTCTGACCCTGCAATGATCTGCCGCAGCTCTGAGTAGGCACACACTGGACATGTGTGGGGGGTAACTGCGGGCGTAGGGGCCACCCCCTATGTCCTCTTCTCCTCCTGGGCCACTGAGGTGCCTCGCAGCTAGCTTCTCTGCACCCCAGGTACTTCAGGAGCAGGCTGATAAGGCTGATGGTCATGAGGACCCTGGGGTGCCACGGAGTATGTCTGGGCTTTGCCCACAGTTTGTTAAATTCTCACCTCTCTACTGGCAGAGATTATTTCCATCTTACAGTGAGGAGACTGAGGCTTCCAGAGGTGAAGCAACCACTCAGGGCTTCCTCGTGCTGCATGGCTGGCAAAGGCCAGAGCTGTGTGGGTAGTTGCAGGTCCTGGGACTCCCCAAAGTGCCCAGTGGACGGGGCCTCCTTCACCTCGGTGCGTTCCCTGGCTGTGTGGTCTTGTGGACCTTCTCAATGCTGTGAGGTCTCCAGGGCTCAGGGAGTTTGGCAGCACTCAATGATGGTGACAACTGTGCTGGTGACAAGCATCTGTTCGCAGCCATACACATGGTCGCCTTTAGGCCCCAAGGTACGGAGATGACCGCAGGCTGCAGTGATGGGGCCAGATGCAGGGCACTGAGCTTGGACAGTCAGGGAAGACCCTGGAAGAAGTGAACTTGAGCAGAGCCAGGAATTAAGTGGAGGAGGTTTGCTCAAGGGGAGCCAGGTGGCTTCTCAGCAGACAGAAGGAGGCCAGCGCTGCACAGAGTGGAAACCCAGTGGTATGTGTGGGGACCCTGTGGGATGGGGTGGGCATCTCCGGCCTGTGATCAGTGAGTACATGCGGTGCCACTGTGCCCCTTGCACCAGTGCGGCACTTCTCGGATGTGGGTGACAGCAGATCCACCTGATGGCATTAGCAGGTTCACAATGGCTCTTTGCCATTGTCTGTTTTCTCTGTGATGTTATGCACAAGCCACTGTGTGTGCATGCCTGTGTGTGTTGAGAGGGGTACACTGAGATTCTTGGACGTGCCTGGGTGCTCCTGCCTAGCCAGTCTGGCACTACCACAACAGGGCAGCAGGTGGCAGTGGGGCCCACTGCTGAGTGGGCCTGGAGAGCGTGGCTTGGTTTGTGCTTGGGGCAGGTGTCCCATGTGCCTGCAGCCCTGTCCCACTGTGGAGGCCAGCATGCCGGGCTGGTCCATGTGTCCTCCTCTGCTGGCCTGCTAGGAATGGCTGCTGCCCCAGGTCCTTGGGCACTATGAGGGTACCATTTTATTCATTACGTGTGACTTACCAGGCACCTGCTCTGTGCAGGGCCAGTGCTGGTGCTCTGGGAGGGCGTGCTGGGTGTCCTGCATGCCCAGGTATGGGTGGCTTGGGTCCGGATGGCCGGTCTTGCTGAGGGTGGCACTGGGCTTCTGTCCATCTCCTGGCCCTGCAGGAGCTCTGTGGAGCAGCCTTAGTGGTCTTTGTACCTCTGTTAGCTGGCCAGGTGTGGGCAGAAGAGACAGAGCTGGGGCCGCCAGGGGTCCTGGGGTGAAGGCCCCACGTTGCCCAACCCGCTCTTACCACGCCGAGGCTGGGGACTCATGTAGCTCTCTTCCAGCTTGCACCTGTGCTGTCCCCATGCCAAGTCTGATCCCCATTTCACTTGCCTTTTCCCACCCCTGGTGATTTGGCTTTTTCATTTCAATCTAATTAGAGCTCCCTGCCTGGATCAGGCAGCACAGGTGTTCTCGCCACAGCGCTGTGGGAATTTGTCACACGGTGCCCATTGTCCTTAATGGGAATGTGGTGCCAGGGCTATTCATCCTTGTGTCCTCAGTCAATACAGTTGGAAATCTGTGGACCCCCGAAATGTCAATACCCAGCCTGAAGGATGGAGGGCCGGCAACGTTTTATCTCCTTAATTTATAGTTCAGACAGCCCATTGGCTTATGGGGCAACCATGAATCAACACTTAGTAAAACCTGCTCGCAGATTAATTATTTCTGGTGCTCCCATTTCTGCCTGCAATCTTCCTAACAGACATCTCCAGCATCTGCAGTTGAGGTGGCCTCAGTGAGCACTGGCCGGCGCTCTCGGGGCCCTGAGTGTCACTGGCCTTGGGAGTCCATCCCAAGTGCGGAATCAGCCCATCTGCTCAGATCCCCATCCTGGGCTCAGGGTTTCCTGGATTCTGTACCCAGCAGTCACAGAGATTCTGTGGAAGGGAGAAGGCCATGGCCTGGGTCCGCATCCTGGGCTCTGGCTGCCTGGCTGTGCTCTGCTGCTGGGGCCCCCAGGGCCTGTTGCTGCTGTGTGCTGCACCCTTGGTGATGTGGGTGCCATGGTCGGGTCCTGCCGGCCTGCAAGGCCCCCACCAGGGGTGACAGAGCTGCAGTGTACCCCCTCCCCACGGTGGCCCAACTGGACAACCAGGGGCCTCTGCAGAGGGACCTGATGATGCCTCTGATTTCCTGACTGGCTGAAGTTGGCCAGGACCACTGCCGATTGCTCACTGGCTCTGCACCAGAAGGGGCCACGTGAAGGGTGCCCGGCCCAGAAGCAGCCTGCGCCTGCTGGTCCCCCTGCTGTGAGCACCGTGCAAGCCACCACCACGCCTCTTGTCTCCCATCCGGCTCAGCAGGCCGCACTTGGCCAGGTGTCCTTCAGGAGCTGGCACCGGCCCAGGGCCTTGTGGAGCGCCCTACACCTTTCCTGGCTTTGCTCCTTGAGTCCTTTGTGGTCGCCGCCCCAGAAGGGGGGCCCAGAGGGCTCCGGAACCTCCCAGATCTCCTTCCTGGGGTCTGCAACAGTGAGGAGGTCAGCCAAGCTCTCCTCCCTCAGCCAAGCATACCTCTCTTTCCACATAACCCTGGAGGGAGGAGCTGACTGCCTTGCGGGTGTTCATGGTTTTCCTGCCTCTCAGCAAACTCCAGCTTGGCATCCTTCTTGGAGAAAGTTCGGCCAGGGGGCTTCTGGGCCACAGTGCTGTCTTACTTGTAGCCACGTGGCTGTGTGACCCCTGGGTGTGCCTGGGCTGTGGTTGTACCTCCTTTGGAGGTGGGCCACCTTTGCCGACTGGGGCTGGAGCCCAACCCCAGTCAAAGAAGCTTGCTTGGTTCTGGGTTCCAGAAAACCCACCTAAGTCAACTACTGGGACACACCTGGCTTACAAGTTGAGAGCTCTTTTTAAGAAGTATTTATGTTTGCAATATATAATGTTTGTATTTTTTTTATATCTTTCTCTTTTTTTTCTTTCTTTTTTTTTTTTTGAGACAGGGTCTCATTATGTAATTTAGGCTGGACCTGAACTCACTATGTAGCCCAGGCTGGCCTCTAGCTCACAGTGATCCTCCTGTCTCCGCCCCCTGAGTGCTATGATTGCAGGAGTGTGCTACTACACCTGGTCATATTCTAAATCTTTTTATTCCCCTTCCTCTCTACTCCCTCTCCCCTCCTTCCACGTCTGGTTTCCCTTCTTGTTTGCAAAACATCTACCTCCCTGTTTGCCTATTTTATTTTGTTTTCATGAATTATTTGTTCTTTGGACTTCCTGTCTAAGAGAAGTCATGTGATATTAAACTCGTGTGCCTGATTTATTTCACTTAACATTATGGTCTCAGAGTGCATCCATTTTCCTACGAATGATTCAATGTATTCCTCTTTATGGCTGAGTAGTACCCCACTGTGTGTAAATACATTTTCTTCATCCATCCATCAGTTGATGGACACACAGCCTGCTCCTAAGATTGAGCTGTTATGAACTGTGCTGCTATAAACACGGGTGTGCATGGTTCACTGTAATCTGATGTCTTTAACTCTTTTGGGAAGACACCTCAAAAGGGACTAGCTGGCTCAAATGGAGTTTCTAGTTTGAGGTTTTTGAGAAATCCCCACACGAATCTCCATAGTGGTTATACCGGTTTACACTCTCACCTACAGTGTAGAAGGGCCTTTCCCACCCAC